CCAAGTATCTTCAATTTACCCAATGAAATATTATTTATTATTATCAATAAACTGAATATTAGTGATGTGATGCATTCACTTGTCGATGTTAATGAACGATTTGTTCACTTACTATTTGATCCTTTTTATATTCAAAATCTTAATATTACACTTATGACTATCAAGTCATTTTATCAACGTACATTTTCCTTACATGAACAAGTTCTTTCAAATATTTGTGAAAACATTTTACCAAATATTCATGATCAAGTTAAAAAGCTTACTATTGAACAAAATTCAATAGAACGTATACTTACTTATAATTATGCTCAACTTTATTCATTATCACTTGTTAATTTTAAAGAAGAAATACTCTATCAATATCTAAGAGGTAGATTTTATTTTTAATATTTTCATTAATGAAATCAATTTTTATTTTAAGATCATTCAGCTCTTCGTAATCTTCTTACACATCAAATCACACATCTAAATGTTGATATTCAGAGTGAAGTACCAAAATTATTGTCTAAAACTTCATCATATATATTAATAATAATTTTGTTTCGATGTCAACGATTAATCAGTTTGAATTTTTGTCAAGTATTTTCGTATCGAAATTCATTCCTTTCGATTTATAAATTACCAGAAACAAGTTGTTCTTATTCAACTTTAATGGAATTAAAAATAAATGTTGCAACTATTAATGATTGTCTTTGTCTTCTTGACGGACGTTTCGATTCCTTATCAAAACTAACTATTAATATGAAAAAAGTCGGATATGAACTTGAAAAAAAAAACAACGAGGTAAATTTGAAATATTGTTTGGAAGTCTAAGATTCAATTAATTAAATGATTTTCTTTCTAGATAAAACTTCCCAAGTTGAAATACTTCTCATTAACTTCATTTAGTTTTATACATCACTTTGATGAATATATTATTCCATTACTTCATCGAATGATAAATCTTGAAGAATTAATATTATTTCTAACAGTAATAAGGACTGATTCAACTTTTATTGATGGTATTGAATTATATGATCAAGTACTTGTACACATGTCACAACTAAACAAATTTATTTTCAGTATAAATACTAGTGTTTTTATTGAAAACAATGAAATGGATGTACCATTAAGTGAAGATATTCAAAATAGTTTCATTGGAAGAGAATATGGACAAATTGGTTCATATGTACATTTTGAACCAAGAAAGCCAAAAAATAGAATCATCGATTTTGAAGAAGCAAAAGCTATAGTCAAATCTCATATCTATTCACTTCCATATCAATTCAAAAGTTTTCT